TTCTCCTTCACACAACCAATCAAGTTGCCTCATGAATGACCCTAATTAGATGTTTTGCTTTATGAGGTATGCAACTCAAGTCAACTTCAAGAGGTTCTCTTTTGGGTGCATTATGGATAATGTTTGGGTGGCATCCCAAGCATGTCAAAGAAAGTAAGAAATCATCTTGTATTTTGTGTTGTTTCTAAAAGTTTTATTATTTAGGTTATGATATAGATTTATCATATGTTTTGCAAAAGAGAAAATGAGGGTTTTTGTGATAATGAGTGTGCTATATGGGTTTTGTCAAAGTATGATAGCTCTGATATCATACTAAATTTCGTAAATGATCACATTCGCAATACATTGTTTAGGTATTAGTTTTGATCGCTATTAGTGATGAATATCTTACTTGAACTTTATTATCCAACTAGAGGTGTTGTCATTGATTGCACAACAGGTAGTGGTTTGATGGTTGAAGCAATACATAACTTTGGTAGATTGGTGTTTGCAATTTAATAATATAAATTCTTTGAAAGCCATCTTAAAGATTTTTGTCATTCTTTATTAATTGCTTCTAGGAGGAAATTTATGATGTTTTAAAAACTTATATGCAATACATATTTAGTTTTCCTCTATATCTATCATAAATCTCTAATATAATGAGCTTTAGAAGTCTTTCTAGGTATGTATAGCACAAGATATGCTATGAGTCTTCCTTTGAATTGAGGAGTTGTGTAAAAAATCTATTTAACGATGATATAGTAAAAAAGAGTTGAATACATCCACTTGCAATAAGAAAAGCATGTTACATGTCAATATGATAATGATAATGATAGTGACAGTGACGGTGTCAAAGATAGTTATAGTGTTAGTTTATCAAATTTCATAATGATGAGTATACTACCTATAATTAATACCAATTTTTAAAAATAGAAAATGGCTAGAGGGGGGGGGGAGGGGATGGATAATATTATAGTGTAAGAATTATTAGTAGCTAGAAATTTAGTAAGGTGACTTAAAAATACAATATTTAGCACTTTTGGATGTAGTATTTACTAATGGAATATTGTTTTTCACTATAAAGTGATAATGGTTATGCATTCTTAACTTTTTCTTGATTTTCCTATACATCCATTTATACACACCTTTCACACCAGTTCTTGAGCAGTTGTGATAATGTTCTAGAAAAGTTTCCAAACCTATACAACCTTCTATTTTATCCAAATAAAAGTAGTATATGAGATACTAAAGATAATATATATTCATTCTTTCAAGAGTTTCAACCATATCTAGAGCAAGATCTTAAAGAAACATTTGGCATCACTCTTGAAGCATATGAGGCAATCCATATCTAGAACATTATCTGGAAGAAAAACCTCTTATTTAGTCACACTTGAAGCTATAAAAAGAAGAGCCTCACAAGAATTATTATATGGAGGAAAGGGTGGAATATTGGTAGAAGTTGGAGATGGAGGTGGAGACTTATATAAAATTTATAGGGGTCAAATGCAAGAAGCAATAAAATTTTCCTTAGCCATTCTTACACATTTAATTTTCAACGTTGAAAGCATCCCTTATCAATATTTATACTAAGAAAAGATTTAGGGGTTCTTAAAAGTTTAGATTGTTAGTCTCAAAAATGGGACTTCAGAATTATAATAGTGTTAGAACCAAAGACTAGGAGTGTAATATGAAGATTGTGATAGTGAAACAAAATTAATATTTTTACATTAATTTGCCCTACAACTCTTATTTATAGATTTTTTTATTTTACTTAAGAACCATAGAATGAATGAATAGTATATAAATATATATTGCCTTGACCAATATGTACTATTAATGGCTACCCTTCAAAAAAGTTTATTTTTTTAATGAATTGCAAGAAAATCAAAATATGATAGTTGTAAAGATAGTCTTTAGTAAGAAAATAGATAGGTTCTCATGAACTTTGTCTTTTCTAAATAACTCAATCTAGTAAAAAATTTTAACCTAGGTATTTATATATTTTAATATTTTAAAGTTTGTTAGAACCTTAATTTTTTAACATAAATTTTCTTTGTAAGAGTTATAGTTCTATTGACTTACATTGACTTGTGCTAAGTTGAGCTCAACTCAACTTTGGACCATCCCTTCGTGGAGGAGTGATGAAGAAATAAATGTTATATCATCCTAGGCAGAGCAAAAAAAAAAAGTTTAGGTGAACTGGAGTTATGCCTAAACTTAGACATTTAAAGAAGAAAGTCTCAACCTAGACAATGCTCGTCATAAACAAGTGTGAAGCAATTATGAACGATTATTAAATCATATAATATATAAGTAACATTTAAACATGCTAGAAAACAACCCCCACTCATTGTTATATGCATTTATATTGAATTAACCATCTTTTCTCCTACTTATAATTGTTTATGTAAAGTAAAGTTAAGAGAGTGACATATATTTATCCTTACTCATGCCTTTGGGGTTCGAAGTTGAGTTCTCTTCTATTTTTTTCTTATTATTTTTCTTTTCTTTTCTTCTTTATGTTTTTATTTTTGTTTGTTTATCACTATTTTGTAGGTAGGGGCAAGAACACAAGTATAGGTAAAAAAAGCCTTACTTAAAGCAAAATATAAAGACAAAGGATTAAATGGCAGATTGAAAGATTGAAACTTCTCCTGTAAAGTCTTTAATTCATCTCTAAAGTTATCTTCATAATAGTCAAACTTCTCATTGTAATCTAGAATTATAAACATCATTTTCCCATAAATTTGATCCTTGAATATTCTCCAAAAACCAAATTGTTGTAAACAACCAAAGGGAACAATTTAAAAGACAATTTATAAAGGTTTAAATATAAAGGAAAAAAGCTCATGAATAAAAGTGCACTTTCTTTTTTAACTGATTAAGGGTTTTAGGATACTTGAAGTTAAATGTCCTTAGGTTTAAATAGTATTAGGTTAGATGACCTCTTGAGAAGTCTAAAATTTAGCTTTTTAATTGATGTTATAATCATGCTCCACATTAGCCATAGCTAACAAGATACAAAGAACAGAAAAAAATAAAAATAAAGGCAATATATCAAGGATGGGTATAACACAAATATAATTGCCAATATGCCCTATAGTATTAGTGGCTTTGAATACCAAGAACAGAAAAAGCAATGACAATAACACTAATGGCTTTAAACATCAAGAACAAGAAAAACAACAACAATACATCAAGGATGGGCATAACACCAATATAATCATTAATACACCCATAGCACTAGAGTCAATAGAACACCAAGAATAGAAAAATGAATAGCAATATCTCAAGGATGGGCATGGCTTTGAATACCAAGAACAGAAAAAGCAATAGCAATAGCATTAGTGGCTTTAAACACCAAGAACAGAAAAAATAATGGCAATACATTAAAGATGGGCACAACACTAATATAATCACTAATACGCCAAATATCACTAGAGCTGACAAGACACCAAGAACAGAAAAAATAATGGCAATACATCAAGGATGGGCACAACACTAATATATTCACCATTATACCCCATAGCACAATACCAATATAATCATCAATACACCTTATAACACCAGAGTCAATAAGACACCAAGAATAGAAAAAGCAATGGCACAAGGATGGACATAACACCAATATAATCATTAATATGCCTTATAGCACCAAAAGCACAATTTGGCAAAAAGCTACTACAAATCTAGATCTAAAAGAAAATGAAGAAATAAAAACAAAAAACACAATCCCAAACATTAAGAGCAAAGCATTATATTCTCTAGAGGTAAATTGTAATACCTTTTGATTCCATCAATATAAATGCTCAAAATATGGGAATAGGTATATTGATTGAGGTTTAGACTCCTTTATATATAAAAATAGATGGACAAATGGATGATGTGAATATATGACATTAGTATAGATAACCCAACAATCATAAAATTCATGTGGTATAGTGTTAGTTTTATTTGTACTACTAAGGTAGTTGTGCTTATAAGAGGTTTTAATCCATATTCAAGAAAAATATAATTATTGAAAACAATCAATATTGCATCATAGCTCATCCATAAAGCTCTATCCTTAAGAACATAGTAAATTGGATATATACCAAGTCTATTTTCTCCAAAATTCCTATCACTACAATATTCATTTCATTAACTGGACTGAAACTAAAACGATCCAGTATTATTTACAAAGCTAAATGCGTTTCCATAATTTTAACTCATGTTCTCATCAATAGAATGTACTAAAATATCTAGTGTTTGCAACACTACAACTCGGGGATAGCCTCTAGTGCATTAGAAATACAGAAAAATGATACTACAGAATAGATTTATATTATGTAAACTGACAACTTGTAGATGGAGAACATTGAAAACTATCAAATTTAGGAGCACCAGTTTGATACTTTAAACGATTCTTTTGCTAATTAAGAATAAATTGTTCATGCTTTATCTTTCTGGGAATACTTCAACATAGTAGAAGATTTCATTGTCTTCTATAACCATTACAGTTTCACATTTAGTTTATTAGTTTATTGTTCCATATTCAAGAAAATACAGAATCATATAATTATTAAAAACAATCAATATTTCATCATAGCCCATCCATAGAGCTTTATCTTCAAGAACATGGTAAATTGGATATATTATTCTGAACCACTTACTCCAAAATTCCTATTCCAACCATATTCATTAACTGGGTTCAAAAGCCAAGCTGAAACTAGAAGTCTAAACGATCCAATATTCTTTTCCATAATCTCAGCAATAGAAAATATCTAGTGTCTGTAATACAACATCTTGGGGATAGCCTTCCGGGAGCGCACCCTCCCTCCCAACATATTCTAAGAGTGCATTAGAAATACAGAAAAATGATACTACAGAATAGATTAATATTATGTAAAATGACAACTTGATAGAAACTATCAAAATTTAGGAAGTCAGAAAGAGGAATTGTAGTTCAGGTCATAGTACCATCGAGAATAATCTCTGGAAACGATCAAAAGGCTAGTATCATATCTAAGCAATGGATGAAGTTTCCAGTGCCACCACCGGGCAAAGAATTGCAGAATCAAAAGGCTTCTTTTGCTGCACTATTGAGGCATTGCACCGCATTGACCAAGGGCAACCATGTCCAGCAGCAGATTCGGCAATCCAAGCTCGAAGGAGATACTCTGCTTGGAAACCTTCTGGTGGAAATGTATGGGAAGCTTGGTTCCTTGCAACAAGCAGAGGAGGCTTTCAGCATGATCAAGCTGAGGAATGTTTTCTCTTGGACCATCTTTCTCGCAGCATTTGCTCAGAACGGGCATTTGGATCACGCAGCAGTCATCTTGGAGAAAATGCCGCAGAGGAACTCGGTCTCGTGGAATTCTGTAATCTCCTCGTGCGCTCGGTGGGGTGACTGCAAGAGGGCATTGTTTTTCTACCGGAGAATGGATCAAGCGGGCGAGAGGCCGAGTGAGATGACGCTCTTGGCCGTGGCGGAGGCTTGCAGCAGCGGTGGTGCCAAAATGCTAGAGCAGGGAATGTCCGCCCAGCACAGAATCGTCGAGAGTGGCTTCATGGCGGACAACCAAATGGTTGGCAATTCGCTTGTGAGCATGTATGGCAAGTGCGGAAGCATCGAACACGCAACCTACGTGTTTGAGAACTTGCTCCTCGAGAGAGACATGGTCTCGTGGAACTCCATGCTTGGAGCGTGCGCTCTAAACGGATGCTTGAACGACGCCGAGGATTTCTTCGACAAGATGCCGGGCCGCAGCATTGTTTCTTGGAACTCGATGATGACTGCGTTTGCTCGTAATAGACGAGCCAAGGATGCCGTGCTCCTCTTCCAGGAGATGGAGGCTATGGCGGACGTAGCTCCAAACGAGGCAAGTTTTGTGATAGTTTTGGATGCCTGTGCCACTCACTCGTTGCTTCCACAGGGAAGGCAAATCCACGAGAGCGCACGAAGGAGGGACTTAGAGAGCGATACAGTCGTGGGGACGCTCCTCGTTAACATGTATGGGAAGTGTGGAAGTTTGCTCGAGGCCGAGGCAGTGTTTGCGTTGCTCCGCGAGCCATGTCTCGTTTCCTGGAATGCCATGATCTCGGCTTGCAAGGTCGTCGTCCAGTACGAGTACTTTGGAACTCGGCGAGGCTATAACACTCTGAGAGCTCTAAAACTCTTGCGAAAAATGGATCTGGAAGGGTGTCAAGCAGACGAGATTACGATCTTGAGTGTTGCCGATGCTTGCCATGACTTTGCTACTGCAAAGCTAGTTTTTTCAAGCATCGAAGCTCGCCATCTCTTTGCTGGTAGTGTTTTCGTCAACACGACGTTTATCAATGCGTTTGCGAGGTGTGGAGCCTTGAAAGAGGCAAAAAAAGTTTTCGACATGATGCAGGAGCGAAGCGTGGTGTCCTGGAACTCGATGCTGTCAGCTCTCGTCCAGCACGGGGCCTCGTCACGAGCTCTGGAGCTGTTCCAAGAGATGGATCTTGATGGAGTCCAAGTAACAGCCGTGACCATCGTCACAATTCTCGAGATTTTTCCGGATGACCAACAACAATCTTTACGTAGACTCGGCGAAGAGATCCACGCAGCCGTGATGAGCACCGACTTAGAGCTGGATCCTCTCGTTTCTTCCGCGCTCATCAGCATGCATGGCAAGTCCAGAGATCTGGAAGCAGCAACAAAGGTCTACAACCAGATCAAAAACCATCCCGGCTCGATGGCGTCGCGGACAGCAATGCTCACTGCGCTCTCCCAGAATGGTTATCTAGAACAAGCGAGACAAATCTTCTTGGAGGCAATACCTTTCGAAAGAAGTACCAGTGCTTGGAACGCCATGATCTCTGCCTATGCACAGAACAACGAGGACGAAAGCGCAGTGGCAACTTTCCTGGCTATGGTGGTCGAAGGTGTGACTCCAGACAATGTAACTTTCACGTCCTTGCTCGGCTCGTGCTCGGCGCTTCCGCTAGATCTCGTAAAGCTCCTCCACGCCACCATGGAAGACGATGATCCAGCATTTGAGCTCGACGATTTCGCCACTAGCGCCCTGGTGAAGAGTTACGGCAAGTGTGGCGACTTTGCGAGCGCCTCCACGGTTTTCCACGATCGGCTTTCAGCGGAGGATCCGGCGTCTTGGAACGTTGTCATGGCGGCGTTCTCTCAAAACGGGGCTCCCGGCGAATCGATCGGCTACTTGAGAAGGATGCTGCTAGCTGGCGTGAGGCCGAATCTCATCACTTTCGCCACCGCCCTGGATGCGTGCTCAAGCCTCGCGCAAGCGACGCTGGCGTCGCTCCTCCACTCGATGATTGTCGAGTCTAGGCTGGAAAGCAGCGAGCTCGTGAGCAACGCGCTCGTCAACCTCTATGGAAAGTGTGGGATCTCTCGCAGCGCTCTGGATGTTTTCCGCGCCATCCCTCGCCAGCAGCAAACCGTGGTGTCGTGGACGTCTATCATTACGGCGGTGAGCGAGAGCGGCGGCGATCCGGCACAGGCGCTCGAGTTCTTCCGCGCGATGAATCTCGAGGGAGTGGCTCCCGACCAGGTGACGTTCGTGTCGATCCTCTCGGCTCTGGGACACGCGGGGGGATTCGAGGCGTGCCATGGCTGTTTCTGGAGCATGCAAGCGGAGTTTGGAGTGGAACCCATAGCCGAGCACTACGCTTGCATCGTAAACTTGCTGGGACGAGCGGGAGAGTTGCGTAGAGCCGAGGAGCTGATTGGGAGCATGCCTTACGAGCCGGGGTACCTGATATGGATGACGCTGCTTGGAGCGAGCGGGATCCACTCCTGCTCCAGCTTTGGCGCGCGAGCGGCGAGCAATGTGTTGACGGTTGACGTCACCCAAGCTGCTGCAGTTCCATATGTTCTCCTGTCAAATCTTTATGCAGCGGAGATGGCTGGACTCCAATCTGTGTAAGAGCGTGGCTACCGCGGCCGCAAGCACCGAAGTGAGAAAGCTGGATGTGAGCAATGAGGAATGTTGGGGCATAAAACTTATCTGACCTTGGATGCGAGGTTTCTACTCAGCACAAAGAGAGAGAATGATCACACCACACGCTGTGCCTCATGTGATACAAGCGGTCATCCGGTTGACGAGGTGCTTGTCATTTGATTTTGTCACTCCAGTTCGACGAAACCAATGCCTTTGTTTCAAGTTCCTTTGGGAATTTGTTTGCAGCGATGATGTATTACCGAAGCTTGAGCTCACTCCAAAGCTAATTAGTGGCTGTAATGGGCATTTGGTCTAGTGGTATGATTCTCGCTTTGGGTGCGAGAGGTCGTGGGTTCGATTCTCGCAATGCCCCGCTATTCTATCATTTTTTTTCCCCTCAATATAAAAATAGTTTGCAGAAAAGAGCCAAAAAACTTATAAGAAACCAGCAAAACCTAATCTCAAAAAATATCAGAGTTTTTTTATTAAAAAAATATTTATTAATTCTTTTTAATAAATTAAGTCAGGCTATGCATTTACTGATACGGCTATGGGACTCTTGACTACATGTGTCCCGTCTTCCCACGCCAATGCAGAAAACACCCACAAAAGAGCAGCAGCTGAAGACTCTTGTGCTGCCGTACCAGCGGAGAACAAAACGGTAACATTGAACGACAGTTTTTGTCCCGAACCCGTGAAAGTGAGTTTCGCCGGAGACACAGCAATAGATAGTCGTTTATCAGTTGCTGCCTCTATTCTGGCTTGGTAGACGGCATTGGCTACTCCGACATTCGTTACTGTCCTCTGAAGTGTCTGGCTACCATTCAAGGCGTTGAAGCAGATAGAGGGATAGTTGAGGCTGGACAGCGCATTGTCTCTGGGGCATGTGGTGGACTTATCTCCTGTGATGTTTCGTATTTGCTCTTGGGTGTAGCCTCCACTACAGAGGTAGAGTATGTAGTCATTGGGTGTAGTGTCGTAAACGAGCCCTGGATCTAACGCTTTGGCTGGCTGAATCTGGCCTGAGCCGATGCTGAATACATTTGCCGGGCTCCCATCTTCTTCAGTGATTGGATGGTTTTGGTTATCCACAGTTGTGGCTGCATGACGGAAGAGCAGAGTCAGCAACTTACGAATGCATTACAAGTGTTTACTTGCCTGTTGTCATGATTGCAGATTTGATAGCCGCTGGACTCCAAGTGGGATGGATGGATTTCACATACGCGATTGTACCAGTTACATGAGGGCAGGCGAAAGACGTCCCTGACGCGATCGCGTAATCTGTCCTGATAAATGTCCAGTTTAAACCAGTACCTGGATGCCTGCGGCTCCGTACTCCGGCAACAGGACTCCATGCTGATAATATATCAAGGCCTGGGGCGATAACATCAGGCTGCAAGACACCACAAGCAGGTCAGTTGGTTGTATAGCCCAACAAAGGTATTTTGCCTGACCTTGATGATATCTGGACTTATGATGTTGGGTCCTCGGGATGAGAAACTTGCAGCAATTGGTGCAGGGCTGAAAGGAAACGATCCGTTTCTGCAAAACCAGGCAAGGCTTAGTACTTCTCCACTTTGCTTGTGAATCTACTTACGGAGTGACTTTTCTGTCGATGGAGCTGGCACCAACCGTGAAAATCCAAGGTGCCACATTTGTGACGGAACCTGGCACACGTCCTGAATTCCCACATGCACACGAGACCACAATGCCTCTTTCAATGGCGTGGTAGGCACCTATAGCTATGCTGTCGACGCTGTAAACCACAGGATCATCTCCAATTGACAACGAGATGATGTCAACGCCATCGTTGATTGCATCGTCTAGTGCTGCTACTATATCGATGTCGTAGCATTGGAACCCCCAGCAGACCTTGTACATAGCAATTCTGGCAGCTGGGAAGCCACCTCTGGCATCACCTTGAGCAAGTCCGTCCTCCATGCTCACATTTTTCACGGGCATGCCTGCTGCAATGGCTGATACACCAGTTCCATGGCCAGCGAAGTCCCTGGGGTTGCTATACGCAATAGAAGCATTTGGAGAGAGTCCAGCTCTGTAATATTTGGCGCCGACTATTTTTCTGCACAAGGGAAAACAATGTAAGCTCTTTAGATTTTTTGAAAAATCTGACTGACTTGTTGCAGTGGACAACAACGGAAGCGTTTGTTCCAGGCGCATTCTCGCAAGCTCCATTCCAACGTGCAGGGACGGGTGCCATCCCGGTATCATCGAAGCTTTTTGACTCAGGCCAGATACCTGCTTTGATTCATATCCATGAAACTCAAGGACTTAATTGTCACAAAACAAGCAGTATACCTGTGTCCAAGATGCCAATGATCACATCGCTGGAACCAGTTGGAATAGCGATTCCTGGAAGGGCTGCTTGCGGTGTCCGAGGGAGGCCCAAAAAATCCCAGGAACGAGTTGTTTGAAGTTCGAGCGTTCTGCTTGGGAAGATACTGAGCACCTCAGGCATTTCTGTAAGGAACAACAGCAGAGTAAGCATTTCATTTCTATGAGTCATCGTTCGCCCCACCAGATAACACGTTGGCTTGTTCTTTTGTCAGGTAAGCAGCGAAACCGCTGAGCGCATGCTTGTAGCTGTAAATCATCGCTCCTGCAGCATCCTCCTCACTGTATAAAATACGCTTAAGTATACTGGAAAGAGTACATGGAGCTATGAGTACCTTCCAATCGCTCTGGCAAGGATGTTCTGATGAGTGGTGGTCAGTGTCTCAGCAGCTATTCCTCGTGTCCCGCCCAGGTAAACTATATAACTTGCCTGCTATGTATCTAAGGTTAGTGTTTACAGCACTTTTAGCAGAAATTTTGCACCTTTGATCTAGCGTGACCAATGTCATGCTCTTTGCAACTACATGAGCCCAAGGAAATCAAGAAGAGCAGAAGCATGCATATCGACATATTCGTTGCAAGGTATGGCTCCTGAACTCGCAATTTGAATAAAGACCTGTAAATAAAGCAAAGAAGGCTGGTGAGCTTACCCAAGCTTGTCGTTATGCACCTTTGGATTGATGCATTTTTTGTTTTGCACTGAGGTATCTTCTTTTGCCAGTCTTCTTCAGAACTTGGAGGTCTGTAACTGTTTGTTCATCCTTTTCGCTGGAACGGAAATGGAAAATACCAAGCACCTGAGGAGAAAGTGGAGATGTCAGCATTTGGTGTATACAGCGGACGAACGACACTAAGCAAGCGTACCTCGATTGAAGTTTTTGGCTGTCCAGCCTCCGATGCACCTTTTTGCCTTACTCCAGGATGAAAATTTTGGTAAGCGTTCAGATTCTCCAAATGAGACGGGTCAGAAGTCTGGAAAGTCGGCGCTTATAATGGCCCTGCAAGAGGAAGCTCACATGAAAACAGAAAAGAACCAGCAGTACGAATGTGCAAAGTTACCGGTATGTCTTGGCCTGTGCCGATGAATGGAAGTCGACGTGAAGCAGGGTGGCCCCGTCCACTGTAGCTCGCATCCAGCTGGTTTCACAGCTTTTTGAAGAAATCTCACGCACCATGTAAGAGAGTCGAGAGCAGCACGTACGCTTCTGGATTGCGTGGCTGTTCGCTCAACACCTCTGATGCAGCGTCCACTCCTCGTTTCACGTCGCTTGAAGCCCGGCACGAACTCAGCATCGTCTTCCAAAGCATCGACTTGTTGCTCATCATCCCCTCCACTCCGGAGCAACTTGCCGCCCTCTCGGCCTCCTCCATCTCCCCAGCTCTCCCAAGCAGATCCACCACGCTCGCGTAGTTTTGCTCCACTCTGGCCACGCCAAACTCGTCCAGCATCCACGCGAAGTAGCTGCACCCTTCCCTCACCATCCCACCGTGGCTGCACGCGCAAGTGATGCTCGCGAACGTTCCACTGTCCGCCTCCACGCCTTCCACTTGCATCCTTTGGAACATCTCCATCACCTTGTCCGTGTGGCCGTGTTGAGCGTAGGCCGTGATGATTGCGTTCCAGGCCACACTGTCCTTCTCTTCCATCTGATCGAAGATGAAGCTCGCCTCGTCCAGTCTCCCGTGCTTCCCTTGCAAGCTCAGCATCTCCGTGTAGATCGAAATTCTGCTGCTGCTGCTCCAGCTTTCCAAACTTAGCCGCAGGTCAGTGGCGTCGATAGAGCTTGGAGAGCTTTTCAGCACGGCGAGAATGGAGACTGCGTCCGGTTGTATCCCAAACTGCTGCATGCTTCTAAACACCTGAACCGCTGCTTCATGCTGGCCGGCGTCCGAGTAGGCCGAAACCAAAGCTGTCCACGAGAATACGTCTTTGTGAGGCAGCTTTTCGAAAAGCTCGCGAGCGGTCTCAAGCTTCCCGAGGCTTCCATACAAACCCACAAGAGCACTTCCAACGCCAGCGTTGAGTGTGGCGCCAGCTACCTCTACATTTGCATGAACCAAAGCTCCCAGTCGCAAGCGTCCACAGGCCGCACAGGCATTGAGAGCTTTCACAAATGCCGACTTGTCGGGCTTTAGTCCTTCCAGCTGCATTCGATGGAGCAACTCGACAGCCTTTTCGTGTTGTCCATTGTCAGCGTAGGCCGAGAGCATCGAAGTCCAGGTAACAGCATCGTCCTGCCCTGCGAAACGCATCCTGTTGAACACTTGGACGGCCCGCTCAACCTGTTTGCACTGACTGTAAGATCGCAGCACCCCTGTAGCTATGATCACGTCTTCCACCAAGCCTAATGCATGAATCCCTGCGTTTGCCACCCTAAGTAGCTCTTCCGGATGGAAGTTCCTGGATGACTGAAGCAGACTGATATACGTAACCTTGTCTGCTGCTACTCCTTCCAAAAGCATCCTCCTATACTGAATAACTGGCTCGTCACACCACGCCAGATACGAGTTCCACACCACGACGTTGCTTTTATCAGCCTTGGAGAACACCTCTGCAGCAAGCTTGTAACGTTGGAGCCTTCCACAAGCGGCGATCAACGCCGGTACCAAGTCCTTGAAAGAGCCCAGCCTGAAACAAGATTGCACAAGATCCATTTCAGTAGCAGTTCCAGACTTTCCAAGAACGCCGAGGGCGGTACTGAGAGTAAATTTGTTCGGCGTCACACCTTCCAGCAGCATCATCCTGAAAAGAACCATAGCTTCTGCATGGAGGCCATTATCTGAAAGAGCTGCCATCATTGCAGTGCACGACACAACCGTCCACCTTTCGACATTGACGAAAACGTTTAAAGCATCCTTAAGGCTCCCACACACACCATATAGATTAAGAAGAGCATTCTGCAAGTACTCATCTCTGTCAATGCCAGTGACAACCAGATGCTCATGTAGCTGCTTACCATAAGAAATATTGTGGCACTTGGCGCATGCGCTTAACACGGAAACGAGCGTGACCTTGTTGTGCTTCACACCTTGGAGTTGCATCCGCCGAAAAAGTTCTAAAGCCATAGAAGACGCATGCGCATCAACACACGCTGCGATCATCGAATTCCAAAAGACCATGTCAGCGTCATTCTCAAAGTTCTGAAACACCTGGAACGCATCTACTAAACTTCCACACCGCCCATACATACCAACGAGTGCAGCACCGACCACAAGGTCGCCCTCAAGTCCTGCTTCAAGAATCCAGCCTTCAACAGATTTCCCACAGTCTAAACTCCGGCACGCAGAAAGCAAAGCAAGAAAGGAAACTCTATCTGGTAACAAACCTTGCAGAAGCATGCGTCGAAACAAGTGGAACGCCTTGTGTTGTTGCTTTTCGTGTTCACTATAGACTCCAAGCATCACATTCCACGAGGAGAGTGTTCCCTCGTGGCACACTGTTGTCTGAAACAACATCTCGCAAGAGCGAATGTCCCCGCATCTGGAAAACATCCCGATTAGAGCAGTCCTGACGACAATATCATGCAAAGCAAGTGTACATTCTCTGGCAAGCTCGTAGATAAGCTTACCTTGGTTCATGTCGACGATTCCACCAGCAATTGAAATGAAAGTCACCTTGTTTGGCTTCACACCTTCCAGTTGCATCTGGCGAAACATCCCCAGAGCCTGAGCGAAGCGAGAATGCTGGACATAAACCCCGATCATGCTCGTCCACAGCACGAAGTTTCTTCGACACGAGCTACGATCGAAAACATCCTTGGACCGTTCCAAGCTGCCACATTTCCCATACATGGTCACCAATGCAGTCACCACAAACAAGTCAGCCTCGCAGCCACAGTCTAAGATCCACGCATGAAGAAGCTTACCTTGAGAGAGAGCTTCCGGGCGTGTACAAGCCGCCAGCGCCGCCGTGAGAGCGATCACATCGGGCAACACGCCGTCGAGCAGCATTTCCTTGACAAGCAGCAGCGCCGCCCCAAAATCCCCATTCCGGGCACTCGCCGTGATCATACTGCTCCACACAACCGCGTCCTTGACCCCCGCGCCACGGAAGCTCTCCCATGCCTCCTCCATCCTCCCGCGCTTGGCATACATCTGGATCAGCCCGGCCGCGACGAAGGCATCGTCGGATCGCGCCTTCGCTGGCGAATCCACAAGAACAGCGCGTACGCCCCTCCCAACCCGCAATCTGCCAGAAACCCTGGCACAGCAAAGCGAATCTAACCGGGGCTCACCAATGCGATCGCTCTCGATACGATCCGCGAAGGCCCGGAGCTTTGCGAGCGCGCCCATACATAAACCCTAGAAAATATTTTTCAAATGCCACCGTACAGTGATAAATCAAGGAATTTTTGAATTGATACCGTACAACGTTTAAATAAGCATAAGGGTTAAGAATTAAACGCGGCCTCTTTTCTAGCTTGCACTAGCGTAGTACGTTGGAACCCCGCCAGCGCCATTACCACCACCAGCGGGGAGCTGCCCGGGCTGTGGCGTTGGGATGCCATACTGCGCGGCGTACTGCGCTGGGTTGTACTGCGGCATCGCGGCCGTGACGCCACCATACTGTGGATTCGACGTCGCGTAAGCCGGCTGGCTCGTGTACGCCGGCAGCCCCGGAGTGTATGGCGAGAATCCGAGAGCCGGAGTTCCAGCTCCAGCCACTGTCGGCCTCGCAAACGCTGGTAAGTTTGGATTGATGACGCTGTAGCCCGCTTGGACTTGGGGACCCCCTTGGTTTTGTGCCGAGGACTGTGACACTGCTTTTTCCTTTTGACCCTCTGCCGCTAACTTTACAATTACGTGCCTTCCCTGGAATAACAGACTCTTCAGTAAAAACCACGGTATGCTTATGTAGCTTACCTCTATTGTCTTGTTGGGATCATCAATGGCTTTCCTTGCCGCCTCAACACTTTTGTACGTGATGAAAGCGAATCCCCTGCTTGATCACAAATAGGAAACATCCATCAGACGATGAAGGAGATTTGAGTCGGGAAGCCTACCGAGATTTGTTTGTGTTTTTATCGTACGCGACGGCTCCCTCCTCGATCTCGCCGTATTGGGAGAAGATGTTTAGGAGCGTCTCGTTGGACGTTTCGTATGACAATCCACCTATGTACAGCTTGCGTTGGGCTTGGTCTGCTGAGCCTGCCCCGGCCGAGCTGCCAACGGATGCTAAATTACATACAGTTATACGGCCCTACAAAAGCAAAACAGATGATCAGAAGATACGAAGGCATCACGAGACTATACACTTACATCGATAGTTTTGCTCGGCTCCTTCAATGCCCTTTGTGCAGAGTCCATATGCTTGAACGTGATAAAACCAAAACCCCTCGACTTTCCCGTTGCTTTATCTGTGATAACCGCACCCTCCTCAATCTCTCCATAGTGTTGAAAAGCCTGAAATGAAAAAGAAAAAAGAAAAGAAAAAAAATATCGTGGTCAGATCCCAAGGGGAAAAGCAGCTCAGATAAAATTCCCCATGGCATGACCAAGAACCACACAGTTCAATCTGCCATTTCCCAGGTGTCATCAAGCAATCCACCCATGCACTCACATCACGCAGAGCCTGTGAAGTAGTCTCCCATGCCAGTCCACGAACAAACAGCTTCCGATGAGCAGGATCTTTGCTTGCAACATCTCTAATGTCATCTGCAACCGCAGGGTATTGAGAACCTCTGCAGATACAAGCCACAAAAACAAGCATTCCCAGTCAAATCCATTCAAAAACGAAAACGAAGGAAAAAGAAATGAAAGAGGAAAGAAAAACGAAAGAAACAGTCGAGCAAATACTCCACCACCAGAAGAAAAAAGCCTACTAAACCAAAACCATTCTCCCAGGCATAGCAGATGCTTTCTCGGCCTTTCCGTTCCACTGGCGAGGTGTCGCGGAAAGGCCAAACCCAAGGTGGCCGCGGTGGAGCATTTGCATGACAGTTAAAATTGAAAACTAAGAGCTACCGAGTAAGAGGCACTTACGCGTCAATTAGAAGCGCTACCAATTGTTCCTTGCTTAGCGGCTCCAGGAGCCTCTTGAGATCGTCCTTGGACAAAGAGACCGAGTATCCGTTGCTATCGTCGCTGTTGAGCTTCCTCTTCTTGGTGTCCTCGGCTACGAAATCCATGGCGCCGCCCAGCTAAATCCTCCTCACCGATTCTTTCAAGCGCTTCCACACCGATTCCCCCACCCCGTACTGCCCAAACCCTAACCTAAAAGCTCAAGCACCGCGTCCTTTTAGGACCCTCCGGGCAGCCGTTGGATCAATCTCCGTACTTTTTGGGTCAGGTGGCCGATTTGTACGGCATTGGCTTTGCGCCAAAACGAAGACATCCAGAGCGAGGAAATAGAGGGACGAGTCTTGGGGTTCTAGCTCCAGGATCTTGGCCGCGGCTAGGGTTCCATGCTCGGCGCCTCGATCGAAGAACCGGCAGGCTCCCAGGAAGCATCTCCAATCCAGCGCGTCCGGCACGAATGGCATGCTCGCCAGGAGCGCGCCCGCGTCGTCCAGGTGCCCCGATCGAGCGAAGAGGCCGATCAGGCACGAGTAGTGCTGCTCGTAGGGTTCCAGGCCGTGGTCACTCCTCATCGAGAGAAAGCAGTGGATTCCAGCTCGGAGCTTCCCGGCGTGGCAATGCGATGCTAGCAGCGCGACGAAGCAAGTGGCGTCTGGATTCTCCTCGACAGTGGGCAGCAGATGGAAATATCGAGTGCTTCGATCGGAGTGAGCACTGCAAGCAGCGAGTAGCGCGTTCCAGGCCACCGGATTAGACGACTCAGGCAGCTCGTCGAAGAATTTCTTGGCTCGATCTAGATCGCCGGTCTGAGAGTACGATGAGAGCATCGCGATCCAGGTGATGGCGCTCTTCACTGGCGATTCATCGAAGATCCCTCTGGCTTCTCGCAGATGCCCGCTCTGGGAGAATGCCACGATCATCAAGGCGCTCGATACGCCATCGCTTTCCAGGATCAAGCGGTAGACTCTCAGGGCCTCCAGGACATGCCCTTTCCGGGCATACACTTGGAGCATCGCGGTGGACGAGACGTTGTTGTGGGCGGGCATGGAATCGAACAAGAACTTGGCACTGTCGAGAGCGTCGGCATTCGAGTGGGCGCACAGCAGCGCATTCCAGGACGCCAGATCCCTCTCCGGCATCGCTTGGAACACCTTCAGGGCGAGATCGAGCTGCCCCTCCTGGGCACTCGCGCAGATCATCGCAGTTGATGACACCAGGTCGTGCTCGGGCATCCGCTCGAAAAGACACATCGATTCTCGCGCTCTCCCGTGCTGGGCATAGATTTCTAGCATGATCGTCCACGCTACCAGGTTCCTCTCCACCATTCCATCAAAGACGCGCTTGCATCGGTCAAGATCTCCGCACTGAGCATACGCCCAAAGAACACTAGTCGTGGAGATCAAGTCCCACTCCGGCATTGCCTCAAACAAGCAAACGCTCCCTTTCCAATTTCTCTGCTGGGCAAACGCGACCAACACCGATGCCCACGACACCAAATCGTGCGCGGGCATGGAATCAAACACCGCAAGGGCCTCCGCAATATGCCCGGCCCGGGCATATCCAGTCAGCAAGATCGTCCATGCCACGTGGCTCCGATGTGGCAGTGGCATGGCATCAAAGAGCTGCTTCGCTTGCGCGAGTTCTTCGTTTTGGCACAGCGCCAGGAGCATCAATCGCCAGGAGAAGGCGTCCTTGGCAGCGATCGAGTGAAAGATTCTAGCGGCATCCTCTATGCCACCCAATCGGCCATACAATTCGAGGAGCTTGTTGGAGACAAAGGTGTTCTTGGTCGCTGGGTGGCAGTGGTGCTCAATATGGTCTTCAATTTGCCTAGAAGCTGCAAGAGTGAAGGAGCTGCCCAGCGATTCAAGGATTTGCTGGCGCTCCACCCAATTCCTCTGGATTTGAGACATTGACTTGAGAATCAAAGGAAACTTATAAGATCATTAACAATTGTTTTTGCCACACACAGCACAGCTACATGTCTCAGCAAATACTCCAGTACATCTTCCAGAATTACAGCTTCGGCAACCATTTTCAGTGGCATGGCATTGAGTGCAATAATCGTTGCAATCCTGGCTACTTCCCCCAGCACAAATAAAACGTTCGCTCACACAAGCATCAACTGCAATTACACAAGTTACAACCAAAATCATGGAAATAAACATGGTAAACTTAGCCATGATCAGCTAGTTTTTTTTTGTGCACTAAAGACTTCACCAATAGGTGTTTTAAATAGCGATAAACTACTATTAAATAAATATAAGGAACCACGATGGTAGAATGCTATAATGGACAAAAATAAACTGTTCATAATATGGATTTGTAGGAGCTACCGCCTACCGCCCACTCCTTTTGGAAATATTATCCCCTTTAAATCATGCGATGAGACAACAGACTTGAAATGCTGGAGTTGCCGATTCCCTTTAAATCATGTGATGAGACAACAATCTTGAAACATAGAAAACCGAGGAAATATTCTAAAACATTTTGTTGAGACTCCTGTTATTAATGTTAAACAACGCGATAGTATATGAATGTTGTTACGATCTCCAGAGATGAAGTGCATTATCGTAGAACGAGCACGACGCAACGAGCGGGAGCGACTCGTTGTTCTTGGACCAATCAACCCCATACGCGAGAGACTTGTGCTCTTTGTACTCCTTCACCACCCCAACACCGACGTCTCGCTGCTCGTCCACAGCCACAATCGCGAAGCCACTGTGCATGCAAGCGGCAACCAGCGTCCCTTTGTCCACCGGATGCCACTTGAGCCTCCAAACTCCACCGCCAAGCCCGATCTTGTGCGTCGCGAAAGGCCTGTGAGCCATCCTCACGTCCCACAGTCGAAGCCTCTCATCGTAGCTTCCAGTCGCCACGACGTTCTCCCACAGGGGATTGCTCTGGACGCAGCAAACTCCCATCTCATGGGACTTGGCGTCGCGAAAAACCGGAGAATCAAGGCTTGCTCGGAGATCCCATCCGCAAAACTGTGAATCGTCACCACCTGTGTAGACCAGCCCCTGGATCCAAGCGTCGTAAGTTGCCGTCCAAGCCTCAAACCCGTGAGCTTCCCAGCTCCTGTCCAGCTCCAGGCGCCCCCGGGACATGGACACCAACGAAATGGAGCCATTCGAGTGACTCACGACGAGTTCTTGCTGGCTCGAAGTAGCGAATGGGTTCCAATCCACGGAGAGGCACATCGCGGAGTCACACACTTCCAGCTCCGTGAATTTCTCGAGCGAATTCGAATCCTCTGCCAGGAGAAGAAGCTTAGCGGAACTTTTCTAATTGAAAAGCCAACACTACCTTGCAATGCGTACATTGTGAGCACGCCATCAGCTCCAGCTTGAGCAAGGACCGCATCGTTCCCTTGATTCGGAGGCCTCCACCTGATATCAAACACTCCACTCGTTTTCTTGCGATCGACGAGGCGGAGGCGAGGGCTTGGATCCGCGATTACCTCAAACAGGCTCACGCTCCCCAGCCGCCGCGCTGGCGATTCCGGCGTCGCTTCCACGAGATTGTAGGTCGCGGCCGCGAGCGCGTGAGAGTGGGAACGAACCGGGCAGAACTCCACAGCATCCGCATTGCCATCAAGCTCCACAGCGTCCATTAATTAGCTTAAACCCTAGAAGGCATAACTTAGCATTTTCTGTTTTTTTTTCTTTTGTTTCCTCTCATTATTTACTGCTAAACATAGCTAAACCCTAAAAAACAATTCTCTTAGCATATTCTGCTAGTTTGAAATTCTTGACTAGAGATTAGAGATGGAGACTCGCCAAGAACACGTACATGGTTCGGACGAATTCCTTCGTGCAGCATTGTCTTGTAGAGATTGAGAGCCTCGTCCACCCTGGGCAAATCCCGCGAGCTAAGGAGTCCACGAGACGAGACCTTTCTCCTTGATCCGGACGAAGATCTTGTCAGCACGATCAATAGATCGCAGGGTCTTGTGAGAATCGAACGCCATCTCTGGCTTGCGACCGCGACGCCCCAATCCATCGCCAATCCACTGGACCCACGTGGCGCGAGCAGGACCGTGGGATTCGGGGGCATCCCGCGGCTGTTCTTTCTATAAAAACCATCAAATTTCCAGAATGGTTTGTCGCGGGCGTCAACCTGCTTGTTTTCTTGGAGAACTTTTACTTCTTATGGCCTGTGGCTTTCGACATGAGGTGACAATGTGTGGCTAGAATTCCCAAGAAGCTATGGCCACGTCCGACCGTGTTGCATTTACACCCCTGTAGCTCTGCAATAGTGGAGCTCGGTTGGCTACTTTTGTAGCGATACTATATTGTACAAAAACTGTATAGAAACCATACTTCATGAAGTAGCAAGCTTGATTTGCCAAGTTCCAGTCCTTAAAAAGACAAAGACCACACCAAATGAAGTGTTGATCATGCCCTTATGACTTTGATAAACTTCATGGAGCATCTCAGCAAATTTCTCGCAAGGAGCGCAAGTCTAACGTCTCCCCACCAACGTGGTGGTATACATGGATCTTAGTCGTTCCCATCGTCACTGCCCCCGCGTTCTTGAAAATGTTGAAGCAGCTCGAGTTTGTGATCGAACCTGCATTTAAGCTGTGTCAAGAACATGAGGAATCTTTGAAACCTTGAGATGGCGAGATGCTGGTTTTGAAGAAGTTACACTGTTGAGCTTGCTCACTCTTCTGCAAAAATCTCTTCACTAGTATAATCAGTTAACATTACAACAGTGAAATAATTTGTAAGAGGATTTAGAGAATCAAAGGACCCTTCCCATTATATACAGTTTTGGTGGCACATATTCCCGAATCTTAAATATATTCACAAATTTTAAACATAAACCCGTTGTTGAAACAAAACCAAAAGATATCTCAGGCCTCTTCTTCAAACTCGCCCTCGTCGTCGGCGGACGCATCCTGGTACTGCTGATACTCCGACACCAAGTCGTTCATGTTGCTCTCCGCCTCCGTGAACTCCATCTCGTCCATCCCCTCGCCCGTGTACCAGTGCAGAAACGCCTTCCGCCGGAACATGGCCGTGAACTGCTCCGTCACCCGCTTGAACATCTCCTGGATCGACGTCGAGTTGCCGATGAAGGTGGACGACATCTTGAGCCCCTTTGGGGGGATGTCGCACACACTCGACTTGACGTTGTTTGGGATCCACTCCACGAAGTAGGACGAGTTCTTGTTCTGGACGTTGAGCATCTGTTCGTCCACCTCCTTGGTGCTCATCCGGCCGCGGAACATCGCCGAGGCCGTGAGGTAGCGCCCGTGCCGGGGGTCCGCAGCACACATCATGTTCTTGGCGTCCCACATCTGCTGTGTCAGCTCCGGGACCGAGAGCGCGCGGTACTGCTGCGAGCCTCTGGACGTGAGCGGTGCAAATCCAACCATGAAGAAGTGGAGCCGCGGGAACGGGATGAGGTTCACTGCAAGCTTGCGGAGGTCCGAGTTGAGCTGGCCGGGGAAGCGGAGGCAGCACGTCACGCCGCTCATTGTCGCGGAGATCAAATGGTTGAGATCACCAACTGCAGGAAAGAAAAAATCTCATCAGCCTCTAAGAAGCAAACGTATGAGGTTAGAGAGAGAGAGAGAGAGAGAGAGAGAGAGAGAGGAAACGGAGTAAGCCGTGGTGCCTGACTGGATGTCAAGTCTCTAGAAAAGATCCAGCCGTATCCACCACTTCGGCTGACCGACTGACAAAAGTGTTGAGAGACTTACAGGTGGGGGTTGTGAGCTTCAGAGTTCTGAAGCAAATATCATAGAGGGCCTCGTTGTCGAGCACCATACACTCATCCGCGTTCTCTACCAGCTGGTGGACGGACAAGGTTGCGTTGTATGGCTCGACGACCGTATCGGAGACTTTAGGAGACGGGAACACCGAAAATGTGAGCATCATCCTGTCGGGATACTCCTCCCTGATCTTGGATATGAGTAAAGTTCCCATTCCGGAGCCAGTGCCTCCTCCCATTGAGTGGCAAACCTGGAAGCCTAAAAACAAAGAAACATAAAACTTCGTAAAGATAGAGAAACAAGAAAGTTTTACCTTGCAAGCAGTCACAGCTTTCCGCTTCTTTGCGCACAACGTCGAGCACCGAGTCAATAAGTTCTGCTCCTTCGGTGTAGTGTCCCTTGGCCCAGTTGTTTCCAGCGCCAGTTTGTCCAAAGACGAAGTTGTCGGGCCTGAAGACTTGGCCGTAAGGTCCCGAGCGCACACTGTCCATAGTGCCAGGCTCCAGGTCCATGAGCACTCCCCGTGGAACATATCTTCCGCCACTGGCTTCATTGAAGTAGACATTTATCCGCTCCAGCTGAAGGTCCGAGTCTCCATGGTACGTTCCTGTGGGGTCGATGCCGTGCTCGTCGCACACGACTTCCCAGAACTTGGCACCAATCTGGTTGCCGCATTGTCCTCCTTGAATGTGTAAGATCTCCCTCATCTTCTTCTTAGTTTGGACCGCGCGTTACATCTTCGAAGCAGTGCCTAACTGTTGGAGTGTGAGGTAAAAGTGGAAAGTTTCAGCTGAAGAGGTGAAGCAGCAGGATAGGAAACGAAAGAAATGGCGCCCCACAGTCCTTGCGACCACTGCTATCTCTTACTGACGAGATAAGTGACATGTCACAGAAAGTGACTTGGCAGCAGACGTGGCCAAGGGGGGGGATCTTACCTGTATGAAATCATGATCATGGATTCTGTTAAAACTCATGAAAAACTCACCAAAATTGTCCAGACTACTATCCACAAGTTCACTCAGCCCTGGCCACTGCCAGTGCTCTGCCGGAGATTTGCTGCTGCCGTGGAGTTGTAGCTCCTGGAAATTCCCCGATGTCATGACTTTCCAGTCCTGAGAGTGGCATGTCTAGTCCTATACTAAATTTCTCCAGGCTTGCCCTGCTGTCCTCGACGTAGCCGTCTCGCGACTTTTCACAGTAATCAGCAATCTGATGAAAGATAAACAGGTTGATACAAAAATGAGAGAAAACGGACAGTTGACTTACATGATGAGCTAGTGCCATACCACTCCTGGCAGCAGACTCCAAGCTCGCACCCAGAAGCCAGTCGCCACAAATGCCAACTCTTGCATGTGCATCGAAAATGCAAGGTACTCCAGGCGTATTAGTTGGAAGCGCTGCTCCCCTGAAACGCGAAGAGCGGAGTGAGTTCAAGTGTGTTCCCATAGAAAACCTTGGAGTTACCATAGTTGGACACGAGTGTAAAATGGTACAGGCAAAGTGCCTTCTGGTATGCCAAGGGCCATCTCAACTCCACGTAGAACTTCACGTCTCACTCTCTCGGCTTTTACCGTAGGAATGCTTTCCTGAAAAATAACAGCGAAGCTTCAAGAAACTGCATAATCTGATTTCTGCTACTGACCTGTGGCACCTTGTGCTTTTTCCCATAAGCCGCAGTACTGAAAAAAGTCCAACAATGTGGATGCTGATTCAGATACAGCTTTTGGCTGTTGTTCCCCATCCAAGAAAGTGAGTTTATTCCTTCAACAAACGCTCCATCCAATTTACTACCGTCTGCCGGCGCAGGTAAAGGCTCGTCAAAAGCCGCAAGAAGAGCCCAAACAGAGCTTAGCTCCAGCCTCTGCAAACCACTCTCAGAAACCACCTTAGCTTACTACACATACCTTCATCTGTTTTGCAACTAAAGGAGCACCCGATGGTCCTAATAATCGATTTGCGCATTTTCCTAAGAAGCAAAGAGTTTAAAGTCGAAGAAGATGGATCTGGAATACTAACCATTGTGTGCGATAACCACCGCATCGAACTGTCCCTGCCCGAGGTCATTTTCCTTGAGGTTCCAGGTGCCATTATCTACTTCCATCGAGCTTATCCAGCATGGATGCTGGATAGTGATCAAACGTGCCTGCGCCAATGCACATCGTAAGCCGGAAGCATGACAGACGCAAGTACTCACCTTACCTTACCTTAGAAACCATATGATCCGCAAGAAGTCGCATGCCATGAGTCGCAACATACTTCACGGAGTGGGGCAATGGACTGAACTCTCCCTCTCGTAGCATGCCGACGACTCCATCCCATTCTTTAACCGCTCCCTCTGACAGCCATTGATCAACGAGCTTCTGAAACATTGGATCCTTGACAGTGAAGTACTGCGCTGCATGGTCGAAAACTAGCCGCTTCCCGTCACGATGGACAATGTCTCTAGTACCCATTCTTCCTCCTAGTCCATGTTTTCCCTTCATTCAAACGAAAAGAACTTCAGTCTCGATGGACATGAAAAATACTATAGCATACGTACCGTGTCGAAAACTGTCGATCGAATGCCCCGTTCTTCGAGCGTAAGAGCACACACAAGGCCCGACATCCCACCACCCAAAATCGCCACCTGTGGATTTTTCTTCACGAGAGAAGGAAGATAAACCTGTTCCCGAAGTGGTGGATTCTTTTTTTCCCGGCGGCTAGAAATCCTTTCTGCTGTCTCCTCGGTCATCTTTCTTACAGAGGACGATCTCTCACCACTTGAAAACGATCTTTCACCACTTGAGGACGATCTCTCACCAGTCGAGGAAGTTCTCGTCCTCGTCTCCACCATTCTACTCCGACCATCTTTCCTGGGAACATCCTTCTTTGGCACCGGCATCACCTCATCGTCACCTCCAAAATCACTTCTCTTGCGAAGCCTCATGGATTCTCCTCCCTGTCTAGACGGACTGGATTCCCGGCTTGGCCGCAATCTCTTGGACACTGCAGCACCGGCTTCTTTGCTGCGAGCCGGCCTACTACGTCGATCATCTTCTTGATCATCCTCGGAATCAATCTCCAGGAAGAATCGCCCATTCTTGCGCTGCTCCACAACAGGCATCTCATCGAAATCGAAGTCCCCGGCATTCTTCCGTGCTCCAACACTGACGATCCGGCCCCGAAATCCTCTCACGCGCTTACATTCCCCGAAAGGTTTACCTCCCAGCCGACGAATCAATGACGCCGATGGCGCCGCCACAACGGCGATGGAGCAAGCACCCGCCATAAAACCCTAAAATAAACTTCACCAAAACAAAATATCTCTATGGCAGCCAAATGCCAATCACCTCCCGCCACGTCACTTCCCGCGCCACACCTAGTGAGAGAAGAAGAACCCTCGAGAGCGATGGTCATGGCGGACGCCGCCGCCTAGCTCTGGTGGCTTCTTCGCTCCTCGTTTCTGGGGGGTTCTCGAGCTCCAAGGCAGGATTTCGTGTCTCCGCCACGGGGAATCTTCATGGAACAGGTACTGCGAAGCCGCATTCTTCGATCTCTCTCGTTCTTGCCGCTCTGATCTTACTGTTCTTGCGCTTCTTGCGGCGCGTAGTATGAGAAGGTGGAGAAAATCGGGGAAGGCACATACGGCGTCGTCTACAAGGCCCGGGATCGCATCACAAATGAGACGATTGCGCTCAAGAAGATCCGACTGGACCAGGAGGACGAGGGCGTCCCCAGCACGGCGATCCGCGAAATATCGCTCCTCAAGGAAATGCAGCACGGCAACATTGTGAGGTGCGTGTCCACTTCCATTCTCTGGAATGGATTTCTAAAACGAATCGATTGGGCTGCCCAGATTGCAAGATGTGGTCCATTGCGAGAAGAAGCTCTACCTGGTCTTTGAGTACCTGGACTTGGATCTAAAGAAGCATATGGACAACAGCCCAGACTTCGCCAAGAGTCCACGAATGATTAAAGTATGGTGAGCCCCCAAAATCTCTCCAGCATTCTTGTGTGGTGCTTGTCCTTCACTCACACTTTTTTTCTTTTTTTTTGGTTTCCTTTCTCGCAGACCTTTCTATATCAGATGATCCGAGGACTCGCGTACTGCCACTCGCACAGGGTTCTTCACCGCGACTTGAAGCCACAAAATCTACTCATCGATCGTCGGACCAATGCCTTGAAGCTGGCTGACTTTGGCCTCGCTCGAGCATTCGGAATTCCCGTCCGGACCTTCACTCACGAGGTAGCCAACCAAAAACACTTTCATCTCGTCATTCGCTGTCTTGTAGTTTCTAAGTATTTCTATGATTTGCTTCGACCCAGGTTGTCACCTTGTGGTACCGTGCTCCAGAAATCCTACTTGGCTCGCGCCACTATTCTACTCCCGTAGACATGTGGTCTGTCGGGTGCATTTTCGCCGAGATGATCAATCAGCGACCACTTTTCCCTGGAGACTCCGAGATTGACGAGCTGTTTAAGATTTTTCGGTATGCTCTCGTATATTTTTTCCTCCTCCTTTCTCGTACAGACCCTGTTGCCTGACCGGACGCTTTGGCAGTATCCTTGGAACTCCCAACGAAGAGACATGGCCGGGTGTGACGTCCCTGCCGGATTTTAAGAGTGCGTTTCCAAAGTGGCTTCCAAAGGTGAAAGTCTTTTTTATCATATCAAGCAAAAGCTTTCGCGGTGCAAATCTAAAGCCTGCCTGAGCAGGATCTCGCCACGCTGGTCCCAGGCCTGGAGCATGCAGGAGTCGACTTGCTCTCCGTAAGAGAAGAGAAACTTTGCTTCGATCTATCCATCAGCTAACACTCTTTTTGTTATTTCCGCTAGAAAATGCTGTGCTTGGATCCCAGCAGCCGCATCACCGCCAGAGCTGCCCTGGAGCACGACTACTTCAAAGATGCAGCATCGGCGGGCGTCGATCCATCAACAGTGTCTGTACAGAAGGGGTGTAAGTGCTAATATGACCAAAAGCTTCGTGATGTGGTGGAATTTTTTTCCTTTTGTTTCTTAATACAATGGTGTTGCAAGCACGACAAGAGTTCTAAAATTCTCGTTACTTAAGAGCCAAAGAAGCTCTCATAGTGTGAAGAGAATCCCGAGGCTGGGAATCAAAAAGTGGGACATAGATGTCCAAACTATGCATATGGATTAAGCTAAAGTGATAACTTTAGAATTCACGAGCAGCTCTAAACTTCCTTTTCATAGATAGGAGAATCTCGAGGCTGGTAATATGCCCAACTTAGGCATAGCGGATCTTGGTAACCAATGCCCAAACCGAAGAACAAGTTAACCCTTCGTCCTGGATCAACTTTGTCCTGGAACCATTAGAGAAGATTAGAGAAAAAGAAGGAGAAAGAAGAGCTTTACCTTGGACCGAGACCATCCCAGTGACCACTTTCTCGTAAATCTCTTCGTCCACCTTCATTCCTGCCTTTCGCATGAGAACCACCAGCTTCATGGCCTCAAAGTAGCGCTCCATCTTCACGTAAGCTCGGACGAGTAGCGCAAAGCTTTGCAGATCCAGCAGAGGTTGGACGCCGCCGCTTTCTCTCAGGATCTCTTCGTGGAGCTCCACGGCCCCGCGGAAGCTCTGCGCTCGCAAGAACGCGGTCATCACCAAGCGCCTGGTGGTTTGATCCGGAGAGACGACTCTAGGCATCTCCCGGTAGATCCTGTCCACCATCGCTGTGTTGCCAGCCGCTAGGAAGAGCTCCAAGAGCTTGTTGTATCCAAGAACAGTCAAGCGGCTTCCACTGGGAGCCAAATTCTCGTAGAGCCACTCCGCATCCTTGACGCTGTCTCTGGAGGCGTAGAGATTCACAGCGGCTTCCAGAGTGCTGGCTTCTCCAGAGACTTTAGATCCCAGCATTTCCTTGAAGAGCTTGTCAAAAGAGTCGTGATCGCTGGCCTTGAGATAGACGTCGAGTATCAACTTGTAAGTGCTCCGGCCGAGAGTTTCTTTCTTCTTCTTTTTCTTCATGTCCTGGAAAATCCTCGTAGCGTCGGAGTAGCAGCCCATTCTCTGGTACGCCGAGATGACAACGTTGTAGCTGATACAATCCTCGTCTTTCCTATCCTCCTCCATCGCCTTAAGAAACTCCTCGGCATCCTTCGGTCGATCTGCCTGGCAGTAGAGCCAAACCAAGCTCGAGTACACAGAGCTCTCAATCCCAGCGTTCTTTCTCCGGAGAGTTTGGAAGATCTCCGACGCTTTGTCGAGCATACTGGCCTTCGCGTAGCTTGCGATGAGAAAAGCGTAAGCTCGAGCATCCGGAGGAGCCCCACACTCGTCCATCTCACTAATCACGGCGAGAAGCTCGTCGGGAGATCCAAACTTGCAGCATCCATCCAGGAGCGTGTGGTAGCACGAAAATTCCGGCTTGGCTCCCTGCTCTTTGCTCCGCGCGAGGAGCTGTCTGGCCTCGTCCAGATCCTCCACTCTGTGGCAAAACGAGATGAGCGCCGCGGAGTTTGCTACACAAGCCTTGCCTTGGAGATTTTCTCCCAGCTCTCGAAGATGCGGCCTGGAACTGGAGAAGGCGCTCCTTGTTTGATCGACAAGGACAATGCTGCTCCTTGATTTCCGAGAGTATGAATCCGTCGAACTGTTGGAGGGCACTCTCACTCAAATGCAAGGATTTAGCTCTGTCGCTTACCGGATCGAGCGCCACGGCCTCTTCCACCAAGCCATGCCCTGGCAGTATAACCCTAGATTTAAATCATGCGCTATTTTAATGATTATGTAATGTATTATTTTGAATCTTATAATGTACATGAGATCCCTGCTCTACCATAAAGACCATGCCACATGACCATTCAAACTACGATACAACACTAGGTTTCCATCATCTTGAATAGCTAAAACAGATACTAATTCACAAGGTGATGGAGAACAATATTTATTTACACTCCAAATTGATGTTCCATCTTTCTTATATAATACCAAATTTCCATCTGATTGGAGTCTTAATTTACAACCATATTGCCCTTCATTGCCATTACCGGCTTTAAACTTTTCCTCATCTTTAATCACATCCATAAATACAAGCTCACAATTATGTAGTAGAATTAATTCATATTGTTTATTTGGTGAAGATTTTGTTGTGCCTGGTTCCATAACTGCAAATGTATTATAATCATCTCCAGTAATAAGACCTGTAAATGATATTGAACAATCATAAAAATCCTGGGGATTTATAATATCTGAAGTTTCTGACCCATTAATCTTTAAAATGTTTAAGTTTGGTATTTCTGAACCATATCTTAAATAATAGAAAACCATAAAATTTGCATTAACTATAACTATAGCATCATACCCCTTCCATGTGCTTATATCATTGAGTACATGATAAATAGGCCATAAACCATTTTTAAAATCATCACCAGAAGCTCCAGCAAATTTATCATATTGACCACTACAATAGCCTTGATCATTTACAGGACTTAATAACCATGCACTTACTAACACCCTAAATGACCCAATCACATTAAAAAGGGCAAAAGCTTGTCCATAAGAATAACTATAATCTGAGCTAATAAGATTCATAACTTCATCAAGGGTAGATATAATAACGTTACGAGGACCACCTACAGGTATGACATCCTCTTTTCCAATATACTCAACCATACATTCAGAATATATGCATAAAAAAGAAATTAGAAATAGATTAATAAAAAGAAATCTGGAAATCATTATTCTGTTTTGCATTTTTAATCTATATTATTTATAGGTATTATAAATTAGTTTAACATGGATTTATCAAAAGTGACAAGATTATACAAAAACTGAACTCGCATATATTCTCCTGATTAAATTATTAAATAATAAATAATAAATATGTGCACTTCAATTTAAACCTTTTCTGTTAAATTCAATTTATTACTGCCTCTTTTACTATATATAATTTGGGAAAAATTATCAACAATAAATACCTTACTAACTACTAACATATTTAAATCTACAACACTTTTGAAGCTAGAAGAAGTTTTATGTGTGTATGTGTGTGTCTATATATATATATATATATATATATATATATAGTAAAACTAAATAATAGTAATAAATATATAATCTAATTATTATGATGCAATTATCCTCTAATACCTAATGTAAGTTTTTGAATTAGACTTCATAAGAAGTTACCTAACCCAGTTATTATTCATATCTAATAACATCCCTTTGGAAGCATGGGAGTAAAGGTACCCATACTAGCATAAAGGGGATCAATAATCTCATGCCATTGTGGCAATAAAGAGAAAGTGTTTGTAAGGACTTATTAATAAATATCTTTCAATACCTAAAGTCATGGTTTTTAATTTTGTTTTCATTAGATAAAATCCCTAGAAAGTGACAATGTGGAAGGCCTTTCATTTGAAATTCAATGACATATATAAAAACACTTAACCCCATTCTTCTATATTTAAACCTAAATGGATTATTTCTCAATTTTGTTTTCATTAATTGCTTATAGTTTCCCTACCACTTTTGAGAAGAGTTGGACCTTGTTTTCCAATATTTCAATCTTTTTGTTTAGCAATTTACTAGTATGTTTAGTGACATTGATAATGACCTTGTACTTAAGTCCTTTGGCATTAATAAAGTAGGATTTGAGTTTCAATGCCTTAAACCACTAAAGGAAAGGATAGAGTATATAAAGCATATAAATAACAACATTAAAACGATCCTAAAACATTTAAACTCCAATTATGAGCCATCCAACCTACCCCTATTATATATTTAAAACCTAAAGTGTTAAACACAAAATCATTCTTTTCCTTTTTTCTATCTTTCTTCAATTATTTTTATTGATTTTTATCCTTTATTCTTTCTTTTTTCAGTTATTTTTGTTGTTTCTTTTAACAAATGAGTGGATTTTGTTCATCCTTATGTTATAAATGAGTTTTATACAACCAAAAGTTGAAACCTGCTTTACTCATAAATATGTTTAATTTTAAGTCTAATTTTATATTCACTTTTACTTTATTCTTTTGGAAGTTTATAAATTTTAAATTAAGAATGTGGTCAATTAATTTTTCAGTTCTTTGAGTGTTTCAATATAAACTTTTTAGAAGTAAAGAATAAAATTGAAAGAAGCTGTTTGGCTAATAAAGACTAGATGCTAGATAAGTTTTAGATCTGGAGTAGTAGTGTGTGTGGAGATGGAAATTTCCATCACAAAATCATGAAGAACTATGAATAATAATCAAGAAAAAGGTTTAGGCCTTTCCGATTCTCCAATTTTGCACTGCAAATGCCACGAACGAGCTCGCCGCCACGAGGAATGCGATCCACACAGCCGTAGATATCCACGGCATCTCAACCGTGTATCGCGCCGCTACAGCCTTCCATATCCAGCTCCACACCATCACCACCTCTGTGCAATCCCGTGCAAACCCTAAGGCGCAGCCAAGAACAATGGGGACAGCCCCAGGGAAACGAGATTTAGTTCGTTCCATCCCGCGATCCCAATTGCCGCGTAGGTGGAGAGGTCACCGAGAGATTGGGCGTGGGAGGAGGGCACCGCCGTGGCTGGACCCTGCTGGTTGATGCATCGATCGCGCCAGTGAGCGGGATCGTGGCGACCGCGGCTGTCACTCCCTTTTGGTCGCCTTGTTGGCCAATTGATCGGAGACGAACATGGATGATTCTAGGGGTAGAGCGTAGCCTCAATGCTGCTCCTTGATTTCCGAGAGTATGAATCCATCGAACTACTGGAGGGGACTCTCACTCAAATGCAAGGACTTAGCTCTGTCGCTTCTCTTCCACCAAGCCATGCTCAGTATGGCCCTAGATTTTAAAGGAATGCACAAACATTCTCTTTTTTATTGATTGTTTTGAATCTTATAAATCTGTGCTCTACCATAAAGACCATGCCACATGACCATTCAAACTACGATACAACACTAAGTTTCCATCATCTTGAATAGCTAAAACAGATACTAATTCACAAGGTGATGGAGAACAATACTCATTTACACTCCAAATTGATGTTCCATCTATTTGATATAATACCAAATTTCCATCCGATTGGAGTCTTAATTTACAACCATATTGCCCTCCATTACCATTACCAGCTTTGAACTTTATCTCATCGTTTATCACATCCATAAATTGAAGCTCACAATTGTGTTGTAGAATTAATTCAAAATGTTTATTTGGTGATGATTTTGTTGTGCCTGGTTCCATAACTGCAAAAGTATTATAATCATCTCCAGTAATAAGACCTGTATATGATATTGAACAATCATAAAAATCCTGGGGATTTATAATATCTGAAGTTTCTGACCCATTAATCTTTAAAATGTTTAAGTTTGGTATTTCTGAACCATATCTTAAATAATAGAAAACCATAAAATTTGCATTAACTATAACTATAGTATCATACCCCTTCCATGTGCTTATATCATTGAGTACATGATAAATAGGCCATAAACCATTTTTAAAATCATCACCAGAAGCTCCAGCAAAGTTATCATATTGACCACTACAATAGCCTTGATCATTTACAGGACTTAATAACCATGCACTTACTAACACCCTAAATGACCCAATCACATTAAAAAGGGCAAAAGCTTGTCCATAAGAATAACTATAATCTGAGCTAATAAGATTCATAACTTCATCAAGGGTAGATATAATAACGTTACGAGGACCACCTACAGGTATGACATCCTCTTTTCCAATATACTCAACCATACATTCAGAATATATGCATAAAAAAGAAATCAGAAACAATATATTAATAAAACTAAATCTAGAAAACATTATTTGGTTTTCCATTTGTAGGGCATATTATTTATAGGTATTTAAAATTAAAATAATATCTCCTAATAATTAAATATTTAATAAAGAAACAATAATAACTATGTGCCTATGACCGTTAATTTATTGTTGTACTTCAATTTTAACCTTTTCTGTCATCATTTATTAAATATAAATTAAATAATTTTATATTTCTTATTATAATATTGTTAAATGATGATTCAGCCATTAGCTATTTACAAGTCTATTAACACCCACCTAAGATAGATGAATTATAATATAACACATTGATGACTTTGTGATCCATTTGTTTACTAAATTCCTTTATGCCTTACATATGTGAACTTTATTCTCTTGCCCTCAACTTTTGTGATCTAAAAACTATGATCTCACTCTATAAATAGTTAAACTAAATAATAATATTTAAATACTCTTTATTATATTTAAGATTGCACTACTTCCACAATGCCAATCAAACTTCCCCTCAACCATTTCTAAGTTCTTAGATTTGAAGTGTGTGTGCGTGTAGGTTCCCGTGACTTTTATAAACATCTTTTTATCTTGTTCAATTTTATTTTTACACTGCTTTAGTTTGTAATATTGAATTTCTCAAATACTATTTCAATGTTCTGATTAAATTTTAAGTTAAGAATTCAAATTATACCAGGAAAAAGTTGTTTAGGAATCTCCAATTCTCCAATTTTTCACTACAAATGCCACGAACGAGCTCGCCGCCACGAGGAATGCGATCCACACAGCCATAGATATCCACGGCATCTCAACCATGTATCGCGCCACTACAGCCTTCCATATCCAGCTCCACACCACCGCGCTGGAGCTCCCGATAGCAGCCCCTATCACCACCTGGGCTCCACTGTGCAATCCCGTGCAAACCCTAAGGTACGCGAGGTAGACGGCGCAGCCAAGAACAATGGCGCACAGCCCCAGGGAGACGAGATTTAGTCCGTTCCATCCCGCGATCCCAATTGCCGCGTAGGTGGAGAGGTAGCCGAGCGATTGGGCGTGGGTGGAGGGCATTCCCGCATCAGTCTTGAGCACCGCGGTGGCTGGACGCTGCTGGTTGATGCATTGCTTGAGGAATTTGGCGTTGGCGCTGTTGACGATCGCGCCAGTGACCGCCCACATCGCCGCGGGATCGTGGCGCCATAGCACCACCGCGGCAGCCAAGCCCGTCACTCCCCATTTGGTCGCCTTGTTGGCCAATTGATCAAAGACGCTGGGAGACGAAGTGGAAGGAGACATGGATGATTCTAGGGCACACATTCTAGCTAGGTCGAGCGGGAGTTCTTGGAACCCTAGAAACAGAGCACTATTATTAACTATTGATTAGTATTAGATTAGCACAAGGAAAATTTCTTCTTTCTCTGCTGATAGAAGAAACAGTGGTTATTCATCAAATGTGAAGGAATTATAAATAGCTTATTTTGCACAAAGTGGAACTCACTCAATGAAAGAATACACACAAAAAGATGGAGGGCGAAAGAGAAAAACGAAAAAGAGCCAAAATGAAAATGAAAACTTTTAATACCTCCTGCTGCTGCTGCTGCTGCAGCTGCTGAATTTTCTTTCTGTTACAATCCAAGCTGCTGCTGCTGCTCCTGCTGCTCCTGATGTTCTTCCTGCTGGGGATGTTCTTCCTGGTTCCTGGATGGATGGATGATAAGAGAAAATAAAGTACCTCCCTTTGATCTTTCTTGCTGCTCTAAGGCTGTTGCTGTTGTTGCTGTGGCGGCAGTGGCTGCTGCTTGGGCGGAGTATCCTGCGAGGCGTCCGATCCTGGCGTGTGCGAGTATGGAGAAGTGTGGCCATTGGACTTCTCCTCGGATTTATCAGACGGCAATCTGGAGCCGTCGTCCGTGTCCACGGCCCTGATGTCCTCGATCATTCTCACCACGTCCTTCATCTTGGGACGCTGGTCCGGCGATGTCGCCACGCACGCCATCGCCACCTGGAGCAACTGGACCATCTCCTCCTCGATGTTCTGGTACCGCATTAGCTCCAAGTCGAACACTTCGGCGGTCCATTCCTCGCGCACCACCGACTGGACCCAGCGCGGCAAGTCGATCCCCTCGTCGTTGAGGGAGGCCTGCGTGGGAGCCTTGCCGGTCAGGAGTTCCAGGAGGAGCACCCCGAAGCTGTAGACGTCGGAGCGCTGCGTCGACTTCCTCGTCTCGGCAACTTCGGGGGCTCTGTAGCCCACGATTCTCGAGGCCGCGGAGCTGGAGTTGAAGAGCTGCGCAAGGCCGAAGTCGGACACGGCAGCATCGTAGTTCTTCTTGAGGAGGATGTTGGAAGACTTGATATTTCCGTGGACGAAGTTGCTGCCACCCTGCTCGTGGAGGTACGTGATCCCGCGTGCTGCTCCCAGGGCGATGCGGACGCGCGAGACCCAGTCCAATGGAGTACGTCCAGCACCACGACTTCCTGTTCCATGTGTGTGGAAATGGGAGTTATGAAAACAAAACAACATCAACAGTGGATTCACGTACCGTGTAGAAGAGCAGACAAACTCCCCATTGGCATGTAGTCGTAGACCAGTAGCTTTTCATCCTTTGAAAAATAATACGCTCGGAGTGGCACCAGATTCGGATGCTGAAGCCTGCCAATTGTCTGGATCTGCTGCTCGAATTCCCTGCCCGAAATTGAAACGTCCTTCAACCTCTTCACCGCAACGACCGATCCATCTTCCAGCACTGCCTTGTAAGCTGTACCAACGCTTCCTTTACCCAAGACCTCGGCAGAAGCACGCAGGAGATCTTCCAAGTCGAACTTGTAAGGTGCGCCCTCGGAGAAGATCAGCTTGCTCTTCTCCGGTTCACCCTGTGCGAAAACCGAACGATCCGGATCCTTCACCTCCTCACCCTTGGCTTCGATAGATCTGTCAGCAGCCTTGGGAGAGCCACCCTTCCTTCTGCAGCACAGGAAGAAGAGCAGAAGCAGTAGCAGCAATGCGCCGACTACACTTCCCACGACGATCCCAACGATCGCACCAGTGCTAAGGCCCTTCTTGTGCTTCCTTCCCGGCGTGTTCGTCGTTGTTGGAGAAGTTGAAGACGGGGCTGGCGAAGGTGGCGCCGAGGAAACACAATCCTCGGCCAGCGGAGGCCCACAAATCTGGTTACCACCAAATGCATCGCTTCCAAAGGCTTGCAAAGCGGCAGGAACGCTACCATTGAGCTGGTTGTTTGCGACGCTGAATTGCTTGAGCCTGGGCAAGTTGAGACCGGCGAGACCACCCGTAAAAGAATTGTTCTGCGCGTAGAGAGTCGCCAGCCGACTGAGGTTGTTTAGTGACACTGGTATCTGCCCGTCGAAATGATTGAAGGCCACGTCCAATCTCACTAAGCTCGGCCACACCGAGAAATCCCTGGGGAGTGGCCCTGAGAAGTTGTTGTTCTGGAGAAACATGCTCCTGAGCTGCCTCAGCCTGAGGAAATCCGCGGGGAATGGACCTGAGAGCCTGTTCATCCTGAGACTTATCACCCGGAGCTCCTCCACGCCACCAATTGATCCATTTGGAATCGTCCCAGAGAGGCTGGATCCAGGAACTCGCAGCTCTCTCACCCGACCTGTGGTGCCATTCGAGCATTTGATCCCTGTCCACTGGCACACATTCGTGTTCCTGTTCCAGCTCCTCAGCTGGTTGCCCGGATCCACGGCACTCCTGAAGGCCAGTAGCGAGGAAACGTCGTCGGCGCTGGCGATCTCCAGTAGCATAAGGAGTGCTCCACAGGCCAGCAGCATTGCAAAGAGGTAGCCATGGCCTGTTGTTCTGTTGGATCTTTCCATGGCGCTACCTATGGACTGTGTGTGAGTGACCTCACATCACCTCAGCCATTGGCTTTCCTGCAAGAAGAGGTCGCAATGTAGGTTCGTGAGCTCGCATCTTCCACAGCGCAGTGAGAGTTTACTGCTGGGCTCACCGTGCTCGATGATCTTTCTCTGCTGTAGCGCGCAATCCCCCTTCCACTTGTCCCTGGCAAGACGAGAAATCGCTCTTGAGACACAACGGCATTGCAAATTTTCACTCGAATGCTCAGATCTAGTACCTTCTCCTGGAAATTTCGACAGATCCAGCGCTCAGCTCCTCCGATTCCATGCGCTCCGGCTCCTGCCGCGAATCCCTAGCACGCTCGTCCACACACAAGCCAAGGGCGCCATAGCCAAGCACGAGCAATACGCGCGGCTCGCAAAAACCTCGAGCTCTTCCAAGCCGCAGTGTTAAAACTGGATTGCTGGAAGCCCTCCTCGTGTGAACGCGACCCAGATCTGCCAGCTAGGACGCCACGCTGGCAGGTTAAAATAGCCTCCTTTCACCCTTTTTACACCACCTAACTCCTCGCCGGCTGCATCAACGGGCGATCGGTGGGAGCCACGTCATGTACACCCCATCATGGCACCATTGCATGCCTGGATGCCGCCACGGCATCTCCGCCGTCCATGTGGCGCGAGGAATATGTATGTCAGGCTTTTATCCGGCAACGGAATGTCAATGCCATCCAGGCTGGCCAGGTATGCCATCCATGACCCCCATGCACACATGCATGTATGATGGCTGGGGTAGGTCCCATGTCCCATTCAAACATCTTGTCATGTCCATGAGGATTGTGGTTCTTTAAATGAGACATTGAAAGCCCCGCAACAGACTCCCTTTAATAGATGGATATTCCCCTCGTGTTTTAGTCCTAATTGCGCGCACTAAATGGCGCTAATTAAACTGGTGGCAATGGTTTTTCCACCCAAATAACCCCATGGTAACTTTGTTCTTGGCATGGTTCCGCGATGGAAGCCCTCCAACGATGGGTGGGTGTGGAATCAAAATCAGTCAGGAACGAACGTTTCGAAGATCGCTCAAAGGTTGAAAGGAAGAAAAGAGGAGGAGATTAAAGGATAACGCGCCTTTATAAAAAGGCCCTTAAAATTAAAAAGGGGAAATTCTCATCTCATTCTAAGGAGAAGAGTCTCGCAGTGCTATCTTACAAAAGCACTGCTTGGACGAGTCCCGTGAGCGTAAGCAAAGCGAGCTGAAAAGTAGTAGCGAGGAGCTTTTCAAAGAAGAAGAAAAACCTGTGAAGATGAAAAGAATAAAACTTTGCTTAAGTTCACGAGCTCTTTTATCTCTCTAGAAGTGATCCCGTGAGCTAGATTTGGAACGCAGAACTTACTCATCGATGGAACGATGGATCGGTCGTTTTGCCTTTTGCGTTCTTGGCTAAGTGGAGTAGCAGCACATATGATTGAACATGCCCCGACGCGAAGTTGGCGATTTCGACCGTGGTGGCTGCGGCATAACTTTAGGCAGCTGTTTATGAAAGGCCTTGACCGCGTCGCGCACGCCATCGTCTTCATGAATGCACTTTGCCACTTCCTCGGCTCGTTGCTTCACCTGTGTGAAAAAATAAAGCAAAGGTTTAAACTCGTGAAAAGGAAAATCAAACAAACAAAGAAAGTTGGAGGAATCCATCTACGCAATCTGTGAAGGACTAGCTACCAGCTCTCCTCTCGCTCTCAGTCTCAATCCAATGCGCAAGAAAATAAAGGAAGGATAGATACCTCGGGGGACATCATAAACTCGATGGCTTCCACAAGATTGTCCAGCGAGAGTTTGTCAATGGGAATCGGAGTAGGACCGATTCCTCTATCGTGTACGCGAGCACCCCAAAAGGGCTGGTCTCCGAAGAAAGGTACCACAGTCGTAGGACACTGTTTCCATGGAGAGAAAAATGGAAGATAAAACAGAGAAAGCAACAAAGTTTTTAGAAAAAAACAACTTTACCGCGGCTTTGAGACCAGCAGCTGTTGTTCCAGCTCCACCGTGATGAACCTGGAACAAAAGTCCAGCATCCAGTTTTAAAAGAACTCAACTCAAGCGAATCGCGAATCGAGGAGAAGAAATAAACTTTGTACCACTGCTGCACATTGTGGAAACAGCCAATCGTGAGGACAGTTTTCGATGAAGTGGACAAAATCTGGATGATCGTTTTCCACTGCAGAACCAAAAACAATGCAAGTTTCTAAGCATTGATACATTGCAAAGTTTCAAAGCTTTTTTTTTTTTTGGTTTTTACTTACTGCCGCGACCAATGCCACCCCATCCTTTGTCAATCAGTCCTCTCTGACGGCTTTTCTCCAGAGCGCTGATAATTGTTTCCGTGACTTTTACTGGATCCTTGACAGGCTATAGGTAGCAAGCAAACACCCAATGAGTCAATGAGAAATAAAAAGGAAGATTTTTTCCAAAGACAAGACTTACCAAGCTGCCGAATCCGATGTAG